ATTTAAAGCGTATAATTTGGTGAGTTTTGATATAGGAACACCCAGGGAACCAACAAATAATGAACAAGGCCATCGCCCTAAAAGTTTCCTATCAGTATGGATGTTTTGGTATGCTTTACTTTGACTCAACGTTTTATTATCTAGAGATAAAGAGATGAGATAGGGAATGGGTGAAACAGGATTCATCATGAACTGATAATTATTGAATCTGGGTGCTAGGTACATGGGTTCATTTTCACACTTAGGTGGGCAGATAATTTTCCCCCCCCCAGCTGTGGGAAAGCGAGATAACTCTTAAGTACCTACTCCCGTTTCAATTAGTAGTGAATTGAAAGTCATGAGAGTTGCTTGGGTTGTCTGGCAACCAGCATTTTCAAAGAATCTGGGCACTATGACCTTTGCTGAAAAGCAACTTAAAGGTGGGGGAGGGGGGCGACGGTGTATGTTTGCAGTGTGAACTGTAAGATACGTTTTCTTCTCCTTCCACGCATCATCTCATAGTCACTGGGAGTGGAAGGAAATACATCTGTCCATTTTGGAGGAAGAACTGGCTTAGAACAAGAGAGCTCTCAACTCTCTTTCCCCAAAGTGCAGGCTTGGTAAAGCCAAGAAGGACCATCCTACCTTGGTTTTTTACATGAGACTTTAGGTTTGACTAAACACTTGTACTTACCAACTGGTTCAATTCTTAAGAAAATCCTTAGTTAAGAATAGCTCCATTTTTAGAAGGAGAGCTAGAGACATGGAGAAGTTAATTTGTTCAAGTTATACAAACCGATAAGTGCTGGGGCTGTGGTCGAACCCCATGTGGTTTGTGCTATGGTTACTGTAGAAAACTGGAAGGAAGTGGAGAAAAAACACTTTGAGGGCAAAGGTGAAACACTGGACACCAAGAAGCTTCCTTGGGCAGTCAGTCTACTCAGGATCGACTCCCCACTGTGGATTAGGGCTAAGCAAGAGGTGAGGGCCAATGGTTTAAAACAGACTTTTCAGATATGTTACATTCACATTGGTAAGGTTTCTACTCCATGCAACAACAAAAGTCTGCCAATGAAACTTGCCGTGCCTAACATAGTAAATGCCTTTTTGATTAGAGGAAAACATTAGAAAATTATGGCTTCTGATGCCCTTTCAAAATATGAGTCCTAGGCCAAAGGCTTCTGTTCCAGGGCAGAAAAGTATCCATATTCCCACCATATAGAGATAGTCATTTACACTTGATCTTAGCCAAAAGGCTGAGAAGCGATTGGAGATAGTCATTTAAATGAACATTTTGCTGTATGTGCCTTTATATATGTGTATGTGCATGCATTCACAAGCATACTTATGTTCATATAGATGTAAGTGTACATACATGTACAGACATTTAAAAAAAATGGGATCCTGGGGCACCTGGGTGGTTCAGGCCATCAAGCATCTGACTCTTGATTTTGTTCAGGTCCTGATCTCAGGGTTGTGAGATCAAGTCCTGTGGGGGGCTCTGTGCTTGGTGTAGGGTTTGCTTGGGAGTCTCTCCTTCTCCCTCCGCCCCTCCTCACCTCAAATAAATAACAAAATCTTTAAAAAATGAAATAAAAAAATAGAATCGTTAAATACCGTGTTACATCCTGCTTCTTCCATTTATGAGATTACAGACTTCCTTTAATACATCTAATTAGAAACCTATGGTGTTGTTTCCAGGCCTTTAAAAAAATCACCATTTTTCTTAAACTAGGAACAGATTTTCTGAATTAAAAGAGAGGACACAGTAAAAGGTATTTCTTCCTCCTTCCGCTTATACAACCATACCTGGCAGCCCTTGTATCAACTTCTGACCCGCCGATCCCTATGAAATATTATCCTCCTCCCTAACTTACACAGCAACAGCCTTTCCCCATTTCATGAGACCTGCCCTTCACCCCAACTCTAAACACTGAGTAATTATTCTTTTCACCAGGCATCTCAGTTCTCCTAAACCTTAGATTAAGTGCAGAGAGCAAAACACGAGTCTTTAAATTCATCTTTAAATTATCTCGGTTACTATGATTCTCAGAATCAAGCTTTATATAAATATATAACCATTTCTTATTGCTCAGTTTGTGCAAATGGACCTGGAGCTGGTCATTGCCAGCAATCCCTCTCTCTGCTCAGTTGCCTTGAAGCTCCCTCCCACCCTAAACTACCCTGTTGAAAGCCAGTTCCTAGATTTTTTTAATGATGTAAAAATCATAGAGAGGGTACAGAAGGCCTGGCCCTGAAGGGAGAGGTGGAGAGAGGCTTAGTCAAATAATAAGAATAATGGCCTGGCCCCTTTGAAAAAACAGAGCAACAAGTTTTAGGTTGCATTGTAAAGATTATTGGCTTTTAAGTAAACCACTCTGGTTTGGAATCATCATTTTAGTGGCCTGACTTTGTTCGATCCCAGCCACCAGCCTCTGGGTCCTGCTGGTCTAAGCAACACCTCTCTGAAGAGTCTCAAGCTTACTTCTGAAAGGCAGGGCTCACAGAGGAGGGTCCTGACAAACTACATTCAGTCTACCATTCCCTCCTACACCTTGCCCTTGAAGCAGCTGACTCTAAAATAATTAGTAATGCCCAGGACTGGCTGACCACTCCCTCTCCTCCTTTCTGCAATCCTGTCCCATTCAGTGCTGCCAAGGAGACTTCTCAGGTGGGCTACAGGGACAAACTGCGGCCCACGTTGCCATTAGTCCTTGCCGGGGGCAGGGTCGTACTGCTTGGGAATCCTGCTTCAGGTGCATCTCCACCCCCAGCCCCCACAACTGTGCTAAGCTGTAGGCAAATGACCACTGAAGCTTAGCCCACTTATCAGTCAACTAACTTCTCATTATGTTCTGTATTCCCACAAGGAACAACAGTAATAACCGAGGCAGTAAAACAGAGCCACAACCTGAAAGAAGAGAGATCTATGGTCTCTATCTGCTTTACCCGTTGCTGAGAACAGTCACTCCACTCCACACCTGGGAGATGGCCAGGCTACTGCCAAGGCCCATTCAGTACTTAGCTCATCTTCCCTGTTACTTTGCTCAGAGATTCCGGTATCAGCAATCCCACGCTCCCACTATGCCATGTTTTTCTTCCCTCATTATGTCAAAGCTTCGGGGAAATAGAATATCTTCATAAGATGTGTGAGGACCACTCTTAAATTAAGATGGTTATGAGGAAAGAGGAAAGAATTGGGTGTTTCATTGTACTGCGCTCTATTAGATTTACGATTATTAAATAATAATAAACAACCATGGCTTGGGGTGCTTAATGTTTTGTCAAGAATTTGATCTATTTTCCCAACATGCCCTGCTTTTCATTCCTTCCCTCCCCTCTTCCTTCTTTGCCTCCTTGGCCTAGAGCGGCTGCTGGGACCGATGAGCTGGTGAGATTTCTGACCACAGTATCAAGCATGTGCAGACTCTTTCCGCATCAACAACATTGGCTCAAGAGATTGTAAACGGGCTCCACTAAGGCCTAGTCAATAGCTTACACTTGCTAAAATATAAAGGCCATTTCTAGAATCAAGCGTTCAATGAGGCCATCTTAAAAGATGGTAGCCTATGTGATCTTTGTGATATGCCCTAAAAAAGGCATATATCTTTAAACTGTTTTCCTTTTATTCCCCCCCTCCCCCCAACTTCTCGCAGGATTAAACAACCTGTTCTTTTTCTTGACGTCCTTCAGCCCTTGTTCTGTGCATCTGACGACGACGACGAGGTAAAACAATCGTGAGATGCTGGGGGATGGTTGCTTCCCTTATGCACTTTAGCATCCTCGAGGCAGAACTAATAAATATTCAGCAAGTGCCGAGTTGGTCCATCCCCACGTGCGTCCTTCGCAGATCCATGCCAGCGATCCTTTCACAAACAGTTTTACTTGGTAATTTACAAGTGTTCTGGCTGCACTCTGCACCTGCCAGTATCGCAGTAATTAGTTTAGGCTGCAAAATGATTTCTAAATTAAGGTTCCGGACTTGTAAAATCAAGAAAGGCTGATAATCACCGTTGTAACTGTGGTAGCCAACGAGTAACGGGATAGAAGGCTAGGACGAGTGCGTCCAACCATCCCACGTGCTCCTCAGAGGTCTCTACGAGGTGCAGGTGGAGAACAGCTCCACAGTTAGAGGCAGGTGGCAGAGACCGCGTGCGATGGTTTACAAACGCGCTCTTGCTCCTGTTATATATAAGCAGTATTTTTGGGGGGTGGGGTGTGTGTGTGTGTGCATAGGGCTTGGGCATCGCGCCCAGGAGCGCCCACGGGTCCTGCAAGGTGGGGAGGGGCGAGCGTCCGAGCAGGTGGGACGGAGGGCGGCGCGGGGAGTCGGACTCCTCGCTCGGGGCGAGGGGGGCCGGGAGCCAGGAGGGGAGGGGAGGGAGCCGGGGAGCGCAGCGGGCAGAGCCGGAGGAGCGGAAGAAGGGGCGGAGGGCGGGGAGAAGAGAAGGCCGAGGGGAAAGCTGCGGAGGGCGGGGAGCGGCCCGCCCCTCCCGGCGTCCTCCTCCGCTCCCTAACTCGGGCGGGCCCGGGCCGGCCGCCGCGCCCCCTCCCGGGGCTGCGAGCGGACGGCGGAGGCGCCCGCGCGCTCCCGGACCCCGCGCGCTCCTCCCGCCCTCCCCGGCGCGCTCCCGCCCTCCGCGCGCTCCCGCCCCGGCGCGCTCCTCCCGCCCTGCCCCGCGCGCTCCCGCCTCCGGCGCGCTCCCGCCCTCCCCCGCGCGTTCCCCCCCGCCCTCCGCGCTCCCGGCCCCCCCCGCGCGCGCTCCCGCCCTCCCCCGCGCGCTCCGGCGTTCCGGGCATGCGCGGTGGGCGGCGCCGCTCCGGGCCGCCCCTGCCGCCGGGAGTAGGAAGCGCGAGCGCCGGGCGCCCGGCTGTCAGTGCGCGTGGGGCCAGCCCGCCAGCCCGCGAGCGGCTCCGGCACCGGCTCCGGCGCCCGCGCCCGCTCCGGCCCGACTCTCCGCGGCCGCCGCCGCCGCCGCCGCCGCCGCCCAGCCCGGGGTCGCCCGCCGCCCCGCCCCGCCCCCGCCCGCCCCCGCTCCCCGGCCGAGGCAAGAGGTGGTTGGGGGCACCATGGCTGACGTTTTCCCGGCCAACGACTCCACGGCGTCTCAGGACGTGGCCAACCGCTTCGCCCGCAAAGGGGCGCTGAGGCAGAAGAACGTGCACGAGGTGAAGGACCACAAATTCATCGCCCGCTTCTTCAAGCAGCCCACCTTCTGCAGCCACTGCACCGACTTCATCTGGTAGGTGCGCGCGGCGCCGGGGACCCTCGCTCGGGGCGCGCCCACTCGGGAACTTGGGAGCCGGCCGAGCCCCAGCCCGCGCCGGGGACACTCGCGGGCGGGACTCCCGGGCGCTCCCGCCGCTCGCTGGGTGTGAGCAAAGGGGAGAGCGAGCGGCAGAAGCCAAAGGGCAGAGTTTCCCGGAGGAACCGGGCAGCGGCGGCGGCGGCGGCGGCTGCGCTGCGCGGTCCAAGTTGCTGGCGAGCCGGTCCGGGCGCTTGCGGGCGCGCGCGCTCTCCCCGCGGGCCTGGGCTCCCCTGCACCCCGGGGTCCTTGCCCGCTGCGGCTTGTACCTGCCGGGCACCGGGGGGACCGGACTTTGGAGGGTGAGCCCGGGGGGAGGCAGCAGCAAACTGTTGCAAGCTTGCGGAGGGGGAGGGGAGGGGGAGGGGGAGGACGAGGACGAGGTAGAACCCGGCAGGCACAGGGCTGAAGGGCAGAGGGAGTCATTTAAAATAGACCCTGTCAACACGAGATTAGACCCGCAGCCCGGGGGATGAGGACAGAGGCCCTCGTCGAGGAAACCACCGTTAAGGTGTCCGAGTCCGGGCGCAGAGTTTCCAGGGAACGCCGATGTTCGCTCGTGGGCGCAGGGGTTTGGAGGAGCCGGAGAAAAGGGACGGCCCTCCCCGCCCCCCCGGGTGGGGGGGGGGTCTCTGAGCCCTGTGATGCTGGGCGGAGCTGTGTATATACCTCTTTCTGGTGAGGGTTCATGGCTTTTATGGACTCTCGAAACCTTGACAACCCTCCCTCCCTCCAAGACACCGTCCCCCCCCCCCCGCCCCAAAGTTTAGGAGGCTGAAATTGAGGGAACCCCAGGTGCTCCGGTTTGGGCAGTGAGCAAATCCCCCCCAGCCCTCCCCCCCCTCCCGTGGTAGGAATCCAGCCTTTTTCTATCTCCTGTTCAGGAATGTAGGTAGAAAGCGCCCCGAGTCGGAGCTATTGCAAGGGTTCCTGAACTCCTGTCTCTCCAAGGCGGGGTTGCGCTGGGGTGGCAGTAAGTCTCCGTGTGGCACGTATCTTGTTGGGGGCCCTGGGCAGCGCTTACAGATGGCTGTGTGAATCCATCACACCTGGGGGGAGAGCAGCTTGAAGGGTGGATTCCACAAACGTGGTGCTAGGAAGACACTTTTTCCTCAACGGATGGCGTCTGAATTCATCGTCCTGGGGTGGGGGTGGGGGCAGGGGGGAAGAATCAGGAGTCCTGCAGTTGTGCTGATAAGGTGGTTAACTCTTCCTTTATGGATGGCATTATCCGAACCTATCACGGCTGGAGGAAATCCCCTCTACAGGCCCTACAGATGTGCTACTAAGATACTTTTCCTTTATGGATGGCTGTGAATCCATCACACCTGGGGGAAAGCATCTCTAAGGGGGAGTTCCTACACATACGCAGTGCTAATAAGGGGCTTTTCCCTTTTCTTAGAAATCTCAAAAGTACTTTTAGGAAAAGCACAGCCTCCTCTATGAATGATTTCTACTATGTACTCAGCGTATGAAGCAGTTGTGCTCCAAGGAGCGAGTAACTGTAGATACGGCTATCTAAAAAGTACTTAGAGCATCAGAGCGGGAGGTTAGTGCATCTAGTCAAGGAGTGTTCTTCAGGCTCTCCTGCCAATTTGAGGGATCTCATAAAAGCACTGAGACTGCTGACTACTTCTGAGGGAAGTAGGTGAATCAGGAAAGGGACTTGCGGCATACATACCCAGGCAAGCTGATGTCTTTCCACTGTCTGTTGCCCTACAGGATTAGCCCCTGGTGAACTGCTGTGGCCCTTGAGGTCACCAGGTGTAATGTGAAGCGGAAAATAAGGTCTCCCTGTCCGCTTCCTCCCTGAGTAATTCCTGTAACACTTCTCCACCTAACCTAGAAACTACTTGGAAGCTCCAAGAAAATATTCACTAGGATTATCTAGCCAGTGGTATTAATTCAGTTGTTTTTCATTGTTTCTACAGGGCCTTAATCTAGGAGTTTGTTTTAAATATTAAGAGCTGATACTTTAAATGTCTGGGAGATGACTAAGTTACATATAAAGATCCACGAAGTGCTTTGTCAACTTAAAATGCTGTGTAAAGCAGGAGATTATGACTAAGACTTTTAATGCAGTTCATCCTAGTTGAAGCAGTGTTTACAATGTAATGTCCGTGGTAGGACTCTCTGCTCAGAGTAAATCTGCCAAAGTAATTTACAAGAACAAAATAGCCTCTGTATTTGCTTGGAATACTACTGATGCTCTAAAAAATTAGATCATAACTTCCAATTGCAACAACAACAACAACAAAATATTTTGTGAAATATGGCTCCTTTTTGAACCAAAACTTAATGTGGAGTGGTACATTGTGGCAGTTTCTAGACACCTATTTTAAGTACATACATAACAAATGAAGATGCTCTTTAGTTGTGTTTAGGGGAGAAAAAGGCTTTTCCACTTTCTTTAGGGATAAAATTAAAGCACTTCAATCATAGTCTTCATTTGTTGACCACTATAGTTCAACTCTGAATATCATAGTCCTGCTCTTGTCTGGAAACTTAAGTATGGTTCACAAAGTGTAAATTGGAAAGAACCTTAAAATGTTGAAATAATTCTGCCTTTGGAGGCCATACATACAGAAGTGGGTTCCCCCACCCCCAAAGTTGAATTTATTCAATACTCTATGTAGACATGGTTTCCTATCAAATCATTGGTATTCATGTACAAACCTTTAGTTCTGTGGAATACTTTGTCTCATAACTGGCTTAAATATGGTATACAACACAAAATATGTTAAGATACTTTGTTGTTTCTGTTTTTCAGGGGGTTTGGGAAACAAGGCTTCCAGTGCCAAGGTAAGCTGTCACGTTGGATTTTATTTTCAAGTACAACATGAAATAAACATTCCAAACACCAACAGTATTTCCAGTCATTTCTTTGTGATCCAAAAAAAAAAAAAAATTAGATATTTTCGAAATGAGGTCTGTAAATTTGGGCTGTTAAAAAAAAAATCGTATTGCCTAGTAATCTGCATATAGAGCTGCCGTTTTTCTCATTGAAAAAAAAAAAAAAACCCTTCCTGTAACTTTTTTTTGCCAAGAACATTCTTGTCAGAAACTGCTGTCTTTGTGTGGGTGTTGAGGAAAAGAAATGGAATCACTTTGTATTCATGTGGCTTTTCTTGTTCTTGCTCGTTTTTGTTCTTTATCTCTTACCTATGTATTGGGTTGGACTCATTGTAACTAATCTTGGGCCATGCATCACTCTGGTAATTCTGTTTTTGATTACTGATTGCTCAGAACAAAATTAGCACATCTTCGTTACCTAGGTTATAATGCGTTGCTGTGCTAGGAACCAGGCTTTTTTTTCCTTTAGTGTTATTGTGATCGTAGATGTACTACTGATGGATTGCACTCCGAATACCATCTATCTCCACCTCTGATCTGTAATCCCATTTTGCACTGGTCAAGTACCTCATTTTTTATACTCTGTCCTGTTTGTCGAAACGTAATACTTTGTAGCTCGCAAAGGCATCCCAGGCTCATAGCCCACCTTCCAGTTCTCTTGCTATCTATGTTTATTTAGTTCTGATTACATTTCCCATCTGGGCATCGGTTTATTAGGGCAAGTGGAAAGCATGCATTCAGCCTGGAAAATATTATTGTAATGCTGCTTAATAGCACATTAGGGAGATCCTGTGTACTTAGGACTCTAAAATTGTGCTAGTGAGTTGGCTTTTAAAGTTCTTCAAACTCATGAATTTCTTACATAGCTTTCTAAATCTAATGTTCATGCAGATATTTTATGGTGTAATTAATACTCTACCCTCATGATGTGCTTCAAACCCCTATTCAATAAATTGCTGAGAGGTACGTTGGGAAATGAAGGGATATTCCTTTAAAGAATAGAGAGAAGGGTGTGTTGCATCCCTCTTTATAAAAGATGAAAGGAAGGTGGAGCTCTTTACATTTCTCAGTTGCAGCGCTGAACTTACATTAGGCAACCTTTGGGTCTCACTTGAAAAGTGACTTTTAAATGTGAAAAGTGTGGTTCCAGGCTACTGTGATTTTGCATATATTGTAATATTTGTGTGGGAAGCTACAGAAACCTAAGAATACTTGTTGAAAAAGGTGTTACTTAAATTTTTATTTTTTTTTACATACTAAGACTTCAGGATGCAATGGTCCCTTTTAGACCTGCTTGTTTGAGTCGATTTTGTGAAATCACAGTAGCCATATTGGGGGGGGGGGGGCGAAAGGGGGACCTGCATGGTTTCCCCACCCCACTCCACCCCCAGGCTGTATGGATTTTTTTTTTTTTGAGTGGATTAGTAGATTAATAGTCTTATGTCAGCATAACTCCCATAAAGAAAGAAGTGAAATTCTATGCCTTCTCTTCTCTCCCTTAGGGGTAAGTTCTTTTTAAGATACTCACAGCTTTTAACAGATCAAATTTTTAAATCCTTCTGCCATTTGCTGCCCACCCTCCTCCCCTGCGGTATATGGTGAGTATCCTTCCCCGTCAAAACATTTGTCCTAACTGGTTTAGTAGTCCCATGTATGCGTGTACCAAATTTATTCATCCATTTCTCTAATTTCTTACTGGTCCAGTGTTGCTGCCAACAATATCCTTGGACACTGGTATTTCTAAGAAACCTAGAACATGTGTGTATGTCTTACGTTTTAATGAGGACAGCTAAGTTCTCAGAATGTTACTATTTACATTTTCAGTATCCAGTGTCCCCCTTTCCTTTCATTCTTATCAGTATTGGAGATTACAGGTCTTTCATATTTTTGCTCTGGTAGTGAAGAGGCCTCCCTGCCACCCACCCCCACCCCTGATTTTCATCTGGTCAGGGTTTAACATTTTTCAAACTTGTTTTAGCATTTTGTATTCTGTGAATTGCCTTTAATACTCAAAATTTAGTTTTTACAAACTAGACAAAACAGAGCAGTGACTATGCTTTATGAACTGTTCCTGAAAGAAGTAAACCATAGGTCTCCTTACAGTAGTTTCTGTACTGCATCTACAAATTTTAATTCCAACTATTTCAATAACAACCTGTCACATGCTATTTGTCACATTTTGTTTAATATGTGTCCTTTATTTCACTTCGAGTAGGCCTATGCTAGTTCTCTTATAACTTCTGGATGTTAGCTCAGGATAGTGCTTTTTAACTGCGCAAAGTTATTTAACGCTTTGGTTTTGACATTCTCAAAAGGAATCTACATCTGACCTTTTTTATTATTGCATGGAGGCCCAATGCAGGGCTTGAACTCACAACTCTGAGATCAAGACTGGTTGAGACCAGGAGTCAGTCAGTTAACCTAGTGAGCCACTTGGGTGTCCCTAACATCTGACCATTTTAGAATACATTTGCGTTAGAATATACTTGTTTTCTCTTAATGTTCTCTAACTTAAAATCTTTCCTGCTCTGTTTGATAGAGTCCCATTCAAGAGAATAACTCCTCCTCATCCTGTGCCTTTGGTGACATACCATCTGAAGATGGCAGCTGGGTTTGAGACTTATTCCATATCAGTTTTCTCACCTGATGGAGGCAGCATATTCTACTTCCTAGTATGTCACTTTGGTCAGTAGATATAGTATCTGTAGCTAAGTAGACTTTAGAGAGGCATATATGCTCCAAATGAGTCACCTATTGGTGAAGTAAGATAACTTTAAAAGTCGTCATTTCACTTAGTAAACGTTAAGAACTGGAAGACTGAAGATGTGACTTGTAGTTCTTTAAAACTGGGTGTCTGGTCTGTGCTATTTAGAAAGCCTTTTTAAAGCATATAAAGATTTTTTCCCCCCTACTTCTTCCCATCCCCAAGATGCAATCTGAATGGAAGCAGGAAACTTTTCTGAAGATATCTTGGATTGTTGCAACTTGTACTTCATGGACCCTGTGCCCTTTAGATTGCAATCCAGGTGTACAGCCCTAAAAAAGTGGTATTACCTGGGCAGATCACACAGGAGGATCCCACTGCCTGAAATAGTGAAATCAAGGGCCATAAATACTGGCGAGAATGAAGAGTGCACAGTAGATTGAGAAGCCATTGCGATTAAGATTCTTAGAGATGAAGATGAGCCTGTCCCTTTTGTAGATCTGAAATGCTCTTGACGGCATCTTGATTTTTTTTTTTTTTTTAAATGGTGTAGCTTATTCTCCTGGTATGCTCCATCTACTCTGTACAGATTTCATCCTGGAAGGCTAGCACAGAGCAGGGCCTTGCTCACCCCCTATTCCCTCTGCTTCCCTACCTGCTAAGGAGAGGGAGAAAGGTATGTCTGAAGTTGAAATTCTGACCTGGAAGGTCTGTCTCCTATTGGTAGTGTCAGGCACTGGCTGCTTCCAAAAGCTGTTGTCCTGGAACAGCAGAGCCATCTACCATGCTGCTCAAATGTTGTCTTCCTCTGGGGCAGTGTAGCCAAAAAGGTCTTATCTATTACTTTTGACAACTGGAAAAGGGAACAAGCCAACTTTTTTTTTTCCCCTCAGCAAGACCAACACACTTCTCAAATTTCAGTGATAGAAACAGCCTCTCCGAACATGACCTGCTTATTTGATGGGCCAAACAATTGCTTACATAGCCTGTTACATCTGATTCATCTTGGCATATCTTTTCTGCTTTTTCTATCATTTAATATCACAAATCAATGAACAACTAACCCAGGTTTTTTGATCAAGATGCCCTAAAGAGACTGCATCAGAATCCATCCCCACCAATGACCGTGGTCAGCAATCTACACTGTTGATCAACACTGGATGTTTGAGGAGTCTGCCAGGAATGCACATTTATGTACTCTTGGTATACTGTTCTGAACCTGGAGCTGTTTCTCTAAGCATACACCAAATACTGTACTTCACCTGTGACTCCAACTTGAAGCTATTTCTCAGTAGTTAGGAATTAAAAATGTTTCCCTTGGCTTTTGACCTTTGATTTTAGAGGCCTGTTTTAGGGTAGATCTTCCCATCAGCTCGCCTTGAGTGGGATGGTGTTTCTTATCCCTTCTGTAAGAATGAAAGTTGATGTTTGAGGAAAGAAGTTCCCCCGCCCTCTACATCTTGGCTGTACAAGCAAAGGAATTCCAGAAGACCAGGCCAATTTAAGGGAGGATGACCTTTAATAGTGAAGGGATGGAGTTGGCAGCTTTTCAGAGGAGGAGGTCTAGTTCTTACCATAGCTCATGGAATGCTGGGAGCCCAGCACTGTGGATACTAAGTGCCAGGAGATAGAAGGGGGCTGAAGTCCAAATTGGGCTGAAGTTGAATGGTCCTTAACAGATTAGTCCTTCCCATATACTGGATTAGCCACTCCTAAACGCTTAGCAACAATCCACTGATCTTTAAAGTTGCCACCATGATTTTCCATCTTCAGACCTGGGGCCGGCACCTCAGCACCCTGTTTCTCCTTGGCTACTCCTCAGATTGGAAACTAGGTTAACTATAAGTGAGCTCCCAGGGTCACTGATACAATTCTGGGAACGCTGATCCATGAAGAGTGTAACTTGAAATTTTGGTGGTTTTGCACTGAGGTGCAATCAAAGCATTATTTCAGCTTCGAAGATGAAATTGTCAGGAATATCTAAAACCTAGAAAAGCATGATAGAGATGGGCAGTTAGAACTGCTTGTCTTTCCAACGCCGTTTTCCTCCACAAAAATGCATTAATACTTGTTAGAAAATGTAGGGACGCACGGACAAAACTGTCGGGTATTCCCATTTGGTGCTATATACTTGTTCGGAAACGATTTCTGATTAATGGCTTTCTGAATTGCCACTTTCACTTAGTGCATTAAACACAAGTATTCTGTTTTACTCACATGCTCCCCACCAGAATCCAATGCAGTA